TAATATATGTACACAACCTATTTTTTTCTTTTTTGCTGGTTTACTATACAAGGTGCCAAATTCTTCCATCACCTTGTGAAAACTGAAATAACTAAAAAAAAAAAAACATTCTAATGGATGCTGTAACCATGGAGCTCCAGAGTGATGCTCAGGACTGTCCCTTTTGTGGTTCTGCCGCCAGGCTTGTTAAGCTGACTCTGCATTCAACTGCAAGTTGCATGTTTTAGCAGCAGCTCAGATCTCCATCCTGGTTTATGCTGGTTCTGTTGCTATTCACTGTTAAGGTGGAAAGTGCACAGAAATAACAGCGAGCCTCTCTGTCTGGTACTGGTGTCTAATGGGCGACTAATAGGCAGCATTCTTATCACAGTAGCAACAACTATTAACTTTCACAGTTGTTCCCGTTGATATTAAAAATTAACAATGCAACAACAAAATATTAGTGAGTATTTTTGATATAGTTTCTTAAATGTCTTAGGACATTCGAAATATGGCAAAACTGAATACAAAACATATAACTTAAGTAAATCATTCCTTAATGTTAATACAAAAAACTACTAGTGTCAGCAGTAGATTCTCTCACTTATTACAAAACATTTTTCCCAAAGCACAAGTGAAATATTTTAACAGTGAAACTTACAATTTTTTATCAATATTAAGGAATTACTGACTTAAAACAAGCTCCGATTTCTTGCTGGAAAGTCATTTGTAAGTTAGTTTTGTCTTATTTCAAGTCCCGTCTGAAGAAGTGATTTGTTTTTACCCCAAGCCAAGGTCACGATGCTAGCAGGAAAAGCAAAAAAAAATAAAACAAAAAAAAAAACTAGACCACATTTATCCTTTCAATAAACACTGAAAATGAGTTCCACATAAAAAATCCCACCATAAAAGGATCTGTGTAAAATCTGTGTAAACAGCAGCCATTTTCCACATGGTACCATGTCAAATCATGCATCATATTTTCATAAGCCTGTCATATATCTTCAGTTCAAAGCTCTAATGTTGATTAGCTGTCATGTAGAGTACATCAATACACAGTCACTGCAGTAAGCTGTGGCAACGCTAATGGTTCATTTGTTCAGGAACAGAGGACACAAGCGGAACTTTCTAAAAAAAAAAGTCTGAAATGACAGGCTATGTGCCGGGACTTTTTATTTTGCATAGGTTCGTTCCCCTTATTTACATAATTGAGTTTGTTTGACTGGGAAATATTTCAAAAAGCAAAGGGAAAATGGGCTCTATACGATCATGTCTTCAGGCCATTTCGCATCGAGTCCTGGCTCAGACAACGTAGGCAGCAAGATGCGGGCTAATGTGTGCTTCAAGAAAGAGAAAAGAAAATCTCCTACAGATTAGTATCATTTTTATAATCTCTAATTACAGAGGCAAGCATGCGCATCAAGTGACGTGAAAGGAATGCAGAAATAAAACGGTGTCAGACACACTCATCTGATTGTCTCCTTTCAGATGTTTATCTGATGAATAGCTCAGTAATACACCGAGCTGTGACATATGTTGCAACACACCAAACACTGAACTGGAGCACATCATCAGGAAAAAATAGGGGGGAGGTTTAATTTTTATTCTTCCATAAGAAGACTGGTTTATAATCACAATAGGTAGCAAAAAATAACTATAATGCCACAGAACATTCTTGTAGATACACTTTCAAATAGTGACGTGGATAAAAGATAATTCAGGTAATATTTGAATTGTTACTAACAAGTTTTTAGCATCATTAAGTTGTAGCCAAGAGACAAATAATTTCTAATGACAGATCAGAATTTAGTCACACGTCTAAGGGAATGCGGTTCCAAAAATAATGGGATTAAAATGACTTGTCGAAAATGTAATAGTTGAAACCCATGACGATGTATTAATAGAACTAAGATATGGATGTAGAGATTACACTGCTCCAGAAGCAGAGATGCAATTATAATGCTTTGAAACTAATTGACAGTGACCAATCATATCACAAGACAATCTGGGGCAGAACAGCAGTTCTTCAAACAAGCCGAGAACATAAAAAGATTTCGTCTGACGTCAAACTCTGGCCACCACACCGACCAAATGTGACCAGGTTTTTTTGTGTTTTGTAAACTTGGTGAAAGTTTATATCCAACCATGTCTGTCTCTCAAAGACGGCGCCTCTCAAGATGGCTGCAGCTTCAGGCACTTGCCTTCGAATGCCTTGTGCCGTTTGTCTTTTCTTGGGACGGGCTGTGCTGAATGGAAATTTTGCTGTGTTTCTGTACAGCAACAATAAAGGAATTCTGATTCTGATCTGATTGGACTCTGTGGATGTTCCCATAAAAGTATGGGGTACAACTCTTAACAGGCGGAGTACATCCTGTAGATGTCATCACAGGGCATTCTTATGGATGATCTAGTTCATATAAAATCAAAGCAAAAACCGTGTCCAAAGAGCTCGTTTCACATTTCCATTAAGGTTTGTACAGCTACCGTATGTAAAAGTGGATCAAATTCTACCAGTAAACTTCAACTGAAAAAGTCACGTATGTGAAGTGTTCGAGCATGCATTTAACTGATATAAAACTATAACTTTTACTTTAACTTACATTAACTTTGACCGACTCAAGATTATGTGTTCTACAAAGGTCAAAGAGATCTTAAAACCTTTTTTTTCTCCTTTTATTTGACTAAAAATGCTTGTATATGGTGGTCGCCCAAACCCCATACTCAGACCCATCCCCCCAAAAAAATCTTTGATTCATTAGGCTGTGTTGCTTGGCTTCTCTCCCCTGCAGACAGTGATGGATCTGATTCATTTCATGGTGGTCATTTCTGGTAACTTTCACTACTCCCTCCCATTCAGCTGGGTGACAGAAGCTAACTGGTCTGCGCCCTCACTCCCCCCAAGCCCCACATACCCACCCCACCAGTGCAGCAAAGCAAAGAAGCGAGGTAAGAATCTCCGTTGAGATAACCTTGCTTTTCTTGCAGCAGCTTTTAATCTGAGCCCAGTTATGACAAAAATTTATCTGTTAATGTTGAGGATTCTGCGTTTAGATGCGTATTGAAAATCAAGGCAGCCTCAATGCTATGGCCGATTTAACCCCAGATTAAGCAGAAGATCATAGAAGGTTGCAATAGGCCAGTGGTTCCCAAAGTGTGGAAATTTTCAAGTATTATATCACTTGAAAATTGTCTCAAAACAGCAATATTATTGTTTATTGCAACAACTTCTGGGACATTTTATCATCCAGCAAATTGTGTTATTGTGACAGATCTAGATCATGTATGGATGGAGGGACATAGAAATTAGTAGAATTTAATATTGGACATTATCACTCCTACTTCTTTCATAGCTAATGTGAACTTGCATCACACGGTCAACCTATTGTCTCATGGCAATTAGTGTTTCAATCTTTGTAAAGATTTTGCTGATCATGCTGGGGATCAAAGTAAAGAAATAGGTTTAAAAAATGTATGGCTTTTCATCTTCCCCCAGGAAGAATTATTTAATTTTTTTTCTTCTCTTTTGGTTTTTTTTTCCTGCAGATTTAGCCGTAAATGTGTGCTCAGTGTCAGCCTCTCTGCAGAGTCCGGTCAGGGATTAAAGTCGACAGGAGACTGACTGGACTGGGGCGATAGGACTCGGTGAACCTTAGCACTGAGATCCCCAGGAGGGACACATGTCCTCTGCTCTACGTCTGAAGGTGGAAGGAAGGAGAGCGAGAGATGGAAAACAAAATACTCCACAGATGAAAAAAAAAAATAAAAAAATCAGTCAACATAGTGGCCTGTTTCTGATGAATTCAGCTATAGTCAGTGGAGAATCACAAGATGGGGGTCAGAATTAGCTTTGAAACAAAGAGGAAAAAAAACAAGTGCATGGCATGTGGCAAATGTGTAAGAGGAGAGAGAGACGCCGCTTGAAGGATGAGAATTAGCGGGGAGGGGCACAGCGTGGTACTCCAAACTGACACATAGCCACAGGACACGGGCTCCAATTAGAGTCACAGCAACTCTAATCAAATCTGATCTACAACCACTGGCTGCAGGGTGACTCAGTGTGCATGTGCGTGTGTATGCATTCACACCTGCACTCCACAATGCTGCTTCACAATCGAGCTGTGCATCACAAAAAATGATTTCTGAATGAGCTTCTTTTTTATTAAAAGGTACAAAACACATTGGTTTGACTGTTAAATGTCACAGAGGACGTTTATGAATTGAAACAAATGTAATTTTCTCTGCTCTTGCCTCACAACAAAAATTATACTTGCAGTACATAATCGCATCTTTTTTGTTGCTTCAATGGACAATAGTCAAACAAAAACCAACCAAGTGTGTCTCGGATATCATGAAGCTGTGTTTCACTGAGGCGGTGCTTCTCAATTCCAGTCCTCAGGCTTCACATGCTCTGCATGTTTTAGATGTGCCTTTATACCAGAACAGCTGATTCAAATGATTGCATGATCTCTTCTGCAGACATCAAATGCTGTTAATCACCCAAAGATTCAATCCAGGTGTGTGGCAGAAGGAAACACCTAAAACATGCAGGGCAGGGCGGCGTGAGGACCGGAATCGAGAAACACTGCACTGAGGTAAGATGCAATGCTATAGTCTTGCTATAAAATTCTTTCTCCATGTCACTTTTTTAAAGTTACAGATAAAAAAGATTAGGATCAGTGCAGAATTGAAGAAAAAATTTGTCAAATTTAGTGAAGTTTAAAAATAGTAGTCCCCCATTTGCTTTTTAATCTGCTTCTTATCGCTCTTGATTTTAAAAACCCTGCTGCACTTAAAAACAGGTTTCTGTCCTGCAGTAACAATTGAATTGCGTGTTCGTTAATCACAACATGGACAAATTTTGTGCTTAGTCACATGTCCAAGTTAACTCAGGTGAAAAGCAATATACTTCACTCACCACCCAACATATCTGGACTTGTGGGGAAGACAAACTGATGCGTGAACTAACTCAAACATTATTTTGACAGAAATTAGCCATGACACTTGACTTTCTGTTTGCTTACCTCGCTGACCTTCATCAACCGCCGAGCCACGATGAGCTGAATCATCCCACGTTTGTTGCCCTCTACTGACATGGACTTCCGAAGGGCCTCCATGGCATCCTGATTGGTTATCCCGAGCAGCGACTCCCCATTGACTGCAACGAGTTGGTCATTGACTCGAAGACGTCCGTCCTATACGCCAACACAGCATTCATCAACCTTTTGTGAATCTTCATCAGATTCATTCAGTGATGTCCATCAACATAATGGTTAGAGGATAAGTAGAAGGAAGAAGTTGCTACTTGCCTTACTAGCAGCACCTCCATGAATTATGGATTTCACAAAGATGCCCAGATCAGCATGGTTCTCCTTGGAGCGGTTCCCCTTCACGCTGACCCCCAAGCCAGCGGAGCCCGAGTCATTGAGAGGGATCTCAAATGTCAGAAACTCTCCTGTTCCATCCGGGGTCACCATCGTGTCATTGTCCTGTTTCTGATGTGGACATTAAACAAACAAAATAAATGATAAGATTGGGATCTACTTTATGTAGTAAGAAGTGTATTTTCACCAGGCCAAGGAGAAAAATATTTCATAGTCATTTTAGCAGTCTTGACAAGTGGTATTTTATTTTGAAAAAACAGCAAGTGCAAAGCCACTAGAGACAGCAAATCTGTTTGTGGAGCTCAAAAAGTACAACAGAACACAATAAACCTGGAACTGGATTCCATTACTTACTTGCCTAAGTTGACAAAATGATGTTGAGGTCCACTGTTGCATTAAGAAACAGAAGAGAAAACAGTGAACTGGGGAGAAGATATAGAAAGAACTGGAAACTGACCGGAAACAGAAAACAGAGGAAGCAGGAAATCAAAGGCTTAGAAAACATGTCACATAGATAATGTTCAGAATTGTGAACAAGATGGATTGCCATATATCTCATATGGCAATCCATCTTGTGAATCATGTTAGTAAGTCCATTCCAGTATAACAACTTTGTTGGGAGATACAAGGCAATAACAATGAATTCTGACTCCTACATAGAAATTCAGCACTTTTCAGAAGTTGATTTCTTAAAAAGAAACTTTCCCTGATGCCACCAACAAGAGGCCTCTTTCTAATTTAATGCAACATAATTTAAAACAAACAAAAAAAATTGTATGATATCAGAATACAGGAGCACACACCTCCTGAGTTTTATTACAACCTGATGGGAGCAGTAATCCAACAAAGTGACATCTGTATGCTCACCAGAATAGAAGAAGAAAAGAACCGAGAAGAAATATTAAAGTGATTTCTCACCAGCACACCACTGGAGTTTGGTGTCTTTGTGGTTCAAAAGAGTAAAAATGACCCAAATGGTAAAAATAACAACAACAAAAAAACAAAACAGACTGTATTAACTACACTGTCACTCAAAATCTGAAAAAGATTAAGAAAAGCAGCTTTCTTTTACAAATTACAAAGAACCAAACTGACGTCACCATTTTATCCTACACATCTGATGAACTGAGTTCATCTTAATGTAGCACTTTGCACAAAACAGTTTGTCTTGGTTGTAAAAATATAATATTATTAAAGGTAATTGTAGAATACACACAATCTAATAAAAAATAGTTGATGTAAGATAGATCATGCACTTTTGTGATAATGTATATCAATCTTTAAAAAAGACTTAAAAGAAGACACTAGTCAGCATTAAACAAGTGGCAGCTGCTTCTTAAACACATTTCCGTCTATTGAAAATCTTCTGCCGTCTCCAGAATCTTTTCAAATAATTCATGATCAGCGGTTCGCTCCCTGTCAGAGGTGTCAGCACAGAAAATGAGCTGAAACAAAATTTTGCTTCACAGCTCTTTCTATTTTCTTATTTATTTTTTTTTTTTTTTGAATAGCACGATGCTCATGAAAGGAGGATCTACTTCTTTGAATTTTACTTCCAGAACATTTCAAAGAAGTCAGCTCTGACATGATTCAGCCAAGGTCTCTGTTCTCCACACGCTCAGAACTACCAGGACTCAATAATCCAAATGAAACATTGGCCAAAATTAATGTTTTCTTTTCAGTCACTAAAAAATGTGTTTGTATCTAGATGAAGGAAGATGATCGTCTCATACTGGTGAACTCAGATGAGGAGTTTGAGGGCAGCAGTAAGAGGCTGGGATCGGCACGATTTCAGCTAGCAGCCGAAGCAAAAACCAGAAAATATTCTTATGAACAACTTCATTAACCCCAAACATTAAGAAAAAGAGATAAATGGTTGCTGTGTGGATAAGGAGGAAGCAGCAGAGAGAATGGAAAAACTGAATATAAGGTGTGTGTGTCTTTTTTGTGAGTTTTTGGTGCGCTGATGACTTATTAGGATGCAGCGATGCATTCAAGTGGAGGCTCTTTTCAACACCATCTGACTGGGCCCCTATTCTTCATGTGGTGCCCCTACTATCTGCCCCTCCATTCTTATCTCTGTTCTCTTTCTTGCTTTTGAAATTGCTCTACACCTGTCCGTACAACTTGCCAAGATGGGGTCCTTGTTTGAGACCGGACTCCTTCATCAATGCCGACCACTGGAATCCATTTAATCGCGCTGGATTTCAACACCTGTGGTTCTAACACAAAAAATTTAAAATATAAATCCCCAGGTCTTAGCAGGAAATGACCCTTTTTTTTCCCTCCGACTGCTGACTGAGGGAGCAGCTGGAGCCAGAAAAGCAGGTGCCAGAAAAGCAGATGCTTTCAGAAAATTCCTTGTCCACACTAGGAGCAAATGTAATGCATCGATATTGTTTAAATGTCCATGGCCTGTCTGAGTTAGAGAGAAGAGGAAGAATATTAAACTACAGTGAATTGCATACATTTGTACGATTTTCACCAAATAATTAAAAGATTGTCAAATGGCTAAAAACTCCAGGATGGAAATTGCAAAGTCACTGTCCACAAAGGCGGGTGTCTGCAGAAAGGAGTGGCGCTCTCTCTGTGAATGTTTTTGTAAAAGTAAAATGGAAGATGCAGGGAGGAAGTGGGAATCCCAGTTGGTGGGGTGTGACGGATGATGAAGTGAAATGGGTGCCACCCGGGTGGTCTGCGAAGTCTTTCAATATGAGCGTTCTGCAAACACACGACCACGCATCAATTGTTTGGGTTTGAAGGAAGTATGGAAGACATAAAGACTCCTTGACTACCAGAGTCACAACTTTATCCCTGACCTGTCTGGTGTTTTCCTTGGTCTTCAGCATGCAATTGTTCACTAATGTTCTTGAAAAACCCTGTGAGAAGCTCAATTAAAACCAAGATTAAGTCACACAAAGGTGGGCTATATTTATGACTTAGCTGACTTGTACAAGCAAGTGGTTACACTGGATTTAAATCACTGCAGTCAAAAGGATCGAATACAAATCTATGCTATTATACCAATTCACCAACTGTTCAGCAAGCTTTTGCAAGTATAGTGAACATAAAAAGAACAAAAATTCTGGCATGTGAATTATTTAAAAAAGAAACATGTTTTAATAGTGATGGGGCTGTTCAAATGGAAAAGGACTCACAGTGAACAGATGCTACGTCTTTGTATAGGGTTTTAGCAAACTAGTTAAAGTCAACCAGAAAGCAGCAGCTGGAAAAACGACGGTGGACAGACGCGGTGTGAGCCTTTGTGCTGCGCGCTAATGCTTGCATCCAAAATGATGACAGAATAACCACCCACTCAGCGATGTGTTACGGGAAAAGAAGGCCGAGGCAAAGAATGAGACAGCACTGTAACATTTTTGTCAGACAGGAACAAGAGCCGCCAGCCAGAAATGAGTTTGTCAAGCCGCCCGACAGCCGTTATTGCTCCAATTGAAGGAAGAGTTGAACCTAACCACCCTCACAAAGGAGGAAAAAAAAAACAAAAAGAAAGAGACTGTTTTTGTTCATTGTTCAAAGCTCAGCATTTTATGAACCTGGGATAGAAAGCATAACGGAAGTGGCAATATACTAAGTTACTAGAAGACAAAAAGAAGGAACAGTCTGACTTATCACAACTAGTATTATTTTTTATTGTAATTAATATATTGAGTGGATGCTTATCTAAATTTATTCAAACATCGAGTAAAAGTGAAGTTATAATCTTTGGATCTAAAGATGACTATCTTGAGTTAGCACACACTTGAAACTAGAGATTAGGACCTAAAATATGGGTACAGTGATGAATTCAGGCCTGAACTTTCAGAGCCACATAAAGACAATTACAAAGTTGGTCTTCTATCACCTGAAGAACATTTCCGGGATTAAAGGACTAATGTCCCAACAAGATCTAGCGAACCAGAACCAAAAATGTTGAAGCAACATTCAGTTTCTACGCACTGCCAATCTAAAACAAACTTTCATAAAACTGCAAAACAGTCGAAACAATGATCATTTTGACAATGGCATTTGACAAAATAATGTCAAAGTGTTTGACAAAGTATAAAGTACTTTGAGCTGCTTTGTTACTGAAATGTGTTATACAAAAATTGTTCAAGGCTAGTTTACATACTGCACTCTATCACAGATGTGAGAACTGGAGATTCATAGTTTAAACTTTATAAATAAGCAGCTATGTATTCACAACAGTACAGGATAATTATAATGTAGAACAGCTGTGATATCATTATTTCCTGAGCTCAACAGTCTGTCTAACCGGTAGGCGAGACAAACCCAAAGGACAACCCTTTGCCTCCACTCGCTTTTATTCCTCCTCTTCACTCAGCTATAGTCGTCGTCCATTACTCAATTAGGGCCTTTATTAATTAACAGTGTGATGGGATAACACCCAGTCATTATCGACAGGAGAGGGAAATAAAGGAAACATTTCCACAGAGATGATGGCAGGAGAGTGAGGGTGGGCACAGACAGGAAAGAGTTAGACGATTGTTCTAGCAAGACCCCGTCTGCCTGTCAGCCGTTTCTGTGGTGTTTATACAGTGTCTAACCTATTCTGTGCTGAAAAGAGATATGCCCATGTGTCTGTCAAAAATAAAAACACAGCAAGAAAAGAAAAAAAAACACAAGGAAAACCAAGACAGAAAGAGAAAAAGACACAGCAAATGAACTGCAATTAAGTCTATTCACACACACAAAAAAATGGAGTTCTCTGCACATCAATGCCTAAAACAATTAACACTGCTGGAAGCTTCTTTCCACTCTTGGCCCAATTTAGTGACATAAAGGTCATTGGAAATTAATCTAAAAGTGGATAAAAGAAATCAGCCATGGGTGTAATTATAAAAGAGGTGCACCCGTGCTAGGCATTGTAACACAAATTTCTTTGGCCGTGATTCTCCCCTGCAACATTTTCTGACAATAGAGGCGAATATCAAGTAACTCTAAACCGCCCAAAAAAAGGAAAAAAAAAAAGAAAAACAAAAGAAAAATCTAATTCACAGAATCTGAGGGTGTGGAGGGAAAAGCTGATTGTGGAAGAGTTTGAATTATGAATAAACTAAAAATGGTAAGACTTTACATGAAAGGGTGTGCAT